TCAAGCAAATTGTCAAAAGAACATTACCATCTTTAAAAAATGTAAAGAATATCCAAAAAGGAGTGGTTGTGTTCTAGACGAGACAATAGGCTGTAAAATTAAGTTTCAGAGCTGCCTTACCAAGTCTCAAATTAAAACGAACAGTAAATACTTTCAGCTTTTTTAATTGTCATTGCACTTTCACAAGTACAGAGCAACCAAATTAACTCTCTGCATGTAACCGATCCCCTTGAGGTGCATTGGGCTGCCACTGTGTGGCACCCAGGGAGCAGTGTGGGGGTTAAGGGTGTTGCTCAAGGAGCCAGAGTGGCAGTCCGTGGGAGTGGGGCTTGAACTCAGAACCCTTGGACTCCTAACCTGACTCCGCATATCCATCTGGAAACCTTCAGTTGCAGTAATTTTGGGAAGGGGCGAAAATACTGGTTAGCTGATTGGCCTATGTTGGTGATAGACGGGCCAAATAAACCAATCAGATCAACGAAGCATAAGACGTACGTACGTACGTAACAGAGCGACGACGAAAACACAACCACAAGCCAGGCTAACTCTTGCTGAAACCAGTCGGGAGAAGAGCAAAAACATCTTTTCCTCTGAGAAAAGCCTCCAGAGCAGTGTTTTGCTCTTCTTTCAGTGAAGAAATACTCTGTAATTCCGATAAAACTTGCTCGTTAGCCATGCTAACGCTAGTTTCATGGGCTGAAGCCGCCATGTTCTTTAGACTGAACTGTCGCGCTTCTCGTTGCGTCACACCTCAACCCGCCTCAAAGCCAACGCTGATTGGACATTCGTTTGGTGAACGGCTCCAAATTTTCTTTAACGGAGAGTCTCCAGACTGATCTGCGAGTGAAACCTTGAAAGCTCGCGAGATCAGGATGGTCTCACAATGCTATTGGACTCCAAGCACAATGCCCTAACCACTGGGCCACCAGTCCCCTTGATTATACATGAGTTTAGCTGTAGATAACAAGTCTGCACCATCTACTAGACACGGAGAGCTTCTATAAGTTAACCTGGGTATTTATTTAGAAGTCAAATTTGTTATTGGGTTTTCATTAAAGAAACAGCTGAAATGTTGAAAATGAAGCTAAAGAATGTGCATGTGTAGGTCACATTATGATCACTTTGGACAGCAATAGATACATCATTAAATTACCTCTAAAGGACATTTTAAAAGTCTCTTTTAGCTGACATTTTCAAGAGTCAGAGATCGTTTTGACAGATCACTTAAAGCTGAGTCTTTGACACCTTCTTACTGCTACATGTTTTTTTCTCTAAAAGATTAAATTCAATCTATTACTGTTTTATGTCTTTGACCCTCTAAGGAGGCAATTCATATCTGCATACCCACCAACCTATATCAAGATTAGCCACTATTGCAGCTTCTATAGGTGTCAGTACACCAATATGTTTTTCAGTTTTACAAGCTTGACAGTAGATTTAAGTTAAAATTGCAGTGGGACCACTGTGGCTGATAGTTATTGGTTCACATTTGAGTAGTAAAACAAACCCAATAAGGGCCAACATATCAGGGATTTTTAGTTTACGTCCCCTTCTGTTTCATAATGTATAATTCATAATGCTGCATTTTTTAAAATTGTGGGTTTGAACGGGCCAGCTTCATCTCAGATCCATGAAAAGCCAGGAACAACCTGCAGAGAAGCTTGTTTTTGCAGCATTATAACAGAACATTTTTCTAAAAGAGGCTGCTGTATCTGTGCTTTCTGCCGGTGCATGACAGTTGGAAGTATAACCACTCTCTCCAAACGGTGGCATATGCCAGAAAATAACCGCTAATATTCTAGAAAGACAAACAAAGTACAGATGTGAAAATCAAGCTAAAAGAAAACTTTGACTAAAGACTAGAATTAAGACATCTCTCCTCAACTAAGTAATTTGTCAAAAAGTACATGGTTGGAAATCTGAGCACCAAGTGTTCCCAATTACCAACCACTCATTTCATCGGTTTTCCCTTTTACAGAAAGTATTCCACGTCAAAGTTCTGTTAATTTTTTTTATTTATTTAAGCCCTAAGCATTATGTAAACTGCCTCATTGTGCGTTGCCCTCGGTCCAAACAGAAAATAAGTCAGTAGGGCTACATGAATGTAGATAATAAAGACCTTTCACTACTAAACACCCGGTCCAAACCTCGCTGACATCCACTGCTTTTCCCATCATGCTCTGCCACAAACAGCCATTTACCCCACAAAGAAGAATTCAGCTCCTGCGTCATTAAACCATCTCAGCCTGACAGGATTTGATTTTGTTACTATTTGTAGATCCCCCCATTTTTTTAGGGTTTTATTGTTGAAGGCCCCTTGGGCCATTGGCCAGGACCCCCGGCTTTTTTTTTTTTTGGGCTTTTTTTTTTTTCTTTCTTACACCAAATGCTTCCAAATCGTTGGATTGGCAGATAAAATGTTATGGTGGAATCCCATTTATTGCTTCCATCTGTTTTTTGTCTTTTTTCTGGAGGAAGAGAATTTAAGGAGCAGGAATGACCAACGTTCTGTGGCATGCCCATAGTCCTTTCCAGCTCTTTGCATGGAATCATTAAGTGTGGTAGATTGTTGTATATGGGGCTGGCAGACAGTGCTAGAGCTGACTCTTGACTTTATGGCTTTTACATACTGGATGGATCCCTGCTAAGATCCGTGGCGGCAGATAACCCTGGCTTTAATTATCTAAAATATGTGCACACACTTGTATCTGTTTGCTCACTCTCACATGCAGGATTTCAGTGTTATCGGTCTTCTTAACACAACCTCCCACGTGCAAATACAGGGGATCCGCTCTGAGTCGATTCAGTAATCTGCTCGAGACTCTGGTCGCCATCCATCAGAGTCGGTTCCCATCTCCCGTCAACATCAAAGGACTCTTGTCTCTTGCCATGATCTTGGAAGCCTGCTCCTCCGACACCCTGGCTTCCTGCATCTCTGCTGCGTTACAGCGGCGCCTGCACGCGGCACCATTACTCCTCATTAATGTCAGCTCAGGCTGTCAAAGGTGCAGCTAATGCTTGTTAAAACTAGTGCACGGCTTTTCCTCAGAGAGGTTTAGATCCTTTGAAAGTTTTTCAGCATTCCTCCAACTTTTTTCGTTTGTTGGGGGGCGAATTTTAATGGGGTAAAAGCAGCTTCCGCAAATGGGACTTTGCATAAACATCCATCCTTAAATTTTTCAAGATTCTAAAAAAAAAAAAAATGTCTTTTCGACTGGGATTGTATGCAATCAACTAGAATAATTTTACACATTAATATGAGGTAGAAGCGAAATTATTCATGATTTAATATTTACATTCATAACTAAAGATGTGCCTTGTAAATTTTTCCAGCCTGACTTAGTTTAGAAAAAAACTTGCAATTATATGGGAGCTTTCCTACGGAGGAGTATTAGGGCTATTGGAAAAAAAAAAGTTTACTGATTTTTAAAAATTTTTTCCGTTTAGTATGGGAAAAAAGTCAAAATTCTGACTTTAATCTCAGAATTCTGACTTTAATCTCAGACTTCTGACTTTTTTCTCATACTAAACTGAAAAAAAATAAAAAATCAGTTAACTTTTTTGTTTTTTTTTAGTGGCCCTAATCCTCTTCCCTACTTTCCACATGGAGACATAGTTGACATTTTCACAGCCATTTTTGAGTGCTATTTTTGTGCAAACTTGCACAAGCTCCAAATACGTACATTGCCGTTAAAATCAACATACGTTTTCCATTCCTCTTTTAGATTCATATTTAGGTTTGTGATTTTGTTTAGTTCAAAACAATTTTAGAGTGTGAAACTCACTGAAGTCTCTAAAATGGTTTCTTCCAATTGTAACTTTGTATTAATCACCAATTACTGTTGTGTTTTCATGGTGGGGATGTTGTGTGCAGAATGGCGTTATACAGCACTTTCCATCCATGGGGTTTAAAACATTTTGTGTTATTTTAGTCTGATTAGATCCCTTTACTTTCTTCACATACGTGATGTTATCCTACATCTATCCTATCCTACAAGGCATGTAGCGCAATTTAAGTGATTGTCTAGGAGCTGTTTTTCCTAATAAAGAAAACTTTCAAACAGTCTGACTGTATGATCTGACTGAATTGTGTTAGAAGATGTTGCAAATTGGTATATAAATACAAACTGTTTTGAACTGCAGTAAATTAAACTTGAGCTAAATGACAAAATCTAAACAAGTTGTGTTTTAAAGGCTCTATTCTTTCTTAATATTATTTAAAGTTGTTGTTCCACTGATGATAGACCGCATCACTTACATGTCCAGAAGGAGGCCTTCCCTTCTACATAAACAGATGTGAGGAGAACCTAAAGCAGTATACGGACTCATTCTTTCCCTGCAGCTTTGGTGATCCTTGTGATAGGTTTTAACGTGGGGAATATGTGAGATAAACAAGCCTTGAGCTCAGATGAATGCTTCTTTATCCACATATGCATAAATCAAATAAATACGGAAATGAATAGCTATAGACTGCTTCTCCCCTCTGACTGGACTGCCTGTGGCTTTCTCCATGTGAAAGAGTATTAGCCATCCAGTGATGTACTGCAGTCATCGCTGCATATTTTAAATGCAGTGTTTTATATTCACTCTGTATCTCTCTCTCTCTCTCCTTCTTGCTGATTTTGATAATGTAATTCCTTTTTTCTTTTTTTTCTGTCTCGCACTCACTTTCATCCAACAGCCTCTTGTCTCTCATCTCAGGAAATTAAGCTGTCATCCTCTGTCTTTTTCATTAATGTGGGTATCATTTCATTGTTGTTTATTAAATTCCTGGTGGAAGTTGATGAGACTGTGGCCAGAGGTGATTTTCCGAAATGCTCTATGTTTTTACCTTCCCCTGCTTGCTTGTGTTTTATTAATACGGACTGTGCATTCAAAGCCTCTTGTTCAGGTTGTTCCTGTCTTTGAACAAACAAAGGGTGTTGCATATTACCTGTGTCTTTGTTGGATGGTAAAACAAGCTTTAGAAATATATTTTTTAATGTTCATCTCCTCTGCAGGTGGACCTTGGCTTTTTGCGGTTTGTCTCTGCCATTGGTACACAGGGTGCTATTTCCCAAGAGACCCACAAAATATACTTTGTCAAGTCCTACAAAGTAGACGTCAGCTCAAATGGAGAGGACTGGATCACCTTGAAAGAAGGCTCCAAACAGAAGGTACCCCATGCATATTTCAAACTTTCTTTAAGATCCTTAATATTATGATGGAACCAGATATGGAGAACAATTATTCAAATTTTGTTCACTGCAAAAACGATCCAGAAATCAGTAAAAATTTCTTAAATTGAGTGTATTCACCCTTAATTTGAGCAGGTAAATGAGATAGTTTGCCAATGGAATTAGTGTTTTTACTCTTAAAATAAGATAATTAGATAATATGCACTTGAAATAAGACAATGCAATTGTGTTTTCTTATTTTAAATGTAAATTTTCTTGTTCCATTGGCAAAATGTCTCTTTAACCTCCTCAATTCAAGAACAAATGCACTTCTTTTAAGAGAAAAAAAAAATGACTTATCTAGATTCAGATTTTTTGCAGTGTTGTCCTACTTTATATCTATTACTTCTGTAAAGCTATACTGATTATAGGTGATACCAGAAGATAAACAAATATCCTTCTAAGAGATTTAAGTTTTTTGTTTGTTTTTTTTTACTGTAAGCAGGTTATTATTTATATTATAACCAAAGAGACTTTGAGAATTCGTTAAAATTCATTATCAACTAATTTGATAAGAGTTGTCATTTTAACCAGGCTTTAGTATGCCTAATATTTTCAATTGGCTCGGGCATCTGGTTAGGATGCCTCCTGGACGCCTTCCTGGTGAGGTGTTCCGGGCACGTCCCAC